TACCGCCAAAAAAAAAAAGAGTGCTGAGAACCGTGCACTGGCTGGGCGTACTGTCTAATTCTAATCTTATCATGAGACTTTCCCACCCGCCCCCACCCCAGGCCATGTGCAGCTTGCGGGATCTCAGTTCCCGGACCAGGGACTGAACCCAGGCCACAGCAGTGAAAGCCGAATCCTAACTACTAGACCACCAGGGAACTCCCCTATTGTGCAACCTTGATGAAAGATTCCTTTCCTTTTTGGTTGCACCTGAGTGTTAATAAATTAGTCCACAAGCACGTTGAATGTTTACTGTTCCTTAGGACTGTGTTAGGCATTGTGGAAAATCTGTAATGTAAAACTGGGTGCCTTCCTTCAGGGTGCTGAGAATCTAGCTATGATGCAATTTCAGTGAGGCAATCAGTAGTAATAGCATGTTTGTTTCTTTAGGAGAGAGCCTGCCACCTAGCCTGCCTGTACCTGCTAAAGCACAAACCCTAAAGCAGGGTGTTCTTTCCTCCACCAGAAATCCCTCATTGGGAAGCCTGTAGAAGACAGATCTCTTCCAGAAAGTGGGAGAAGGGAAAGGTTGCTCATTTATGGCAGGGGTTGGAATTTCAGGTCCTAAAAAGCAGTTATTCATGGAGTCATTTAAAATGAAAGAATAATAATAATAACACGGCTTCCCTGATGGCGCAGTGGTTAAGAATCCGCCTGCCAATGCAGGGGACACGGGTTCAAGCCCTGGTCCGGGAAGATCACACATACTGCAAAGCAACTAAGCCCATGTGCCACAACTCCTGAGCCTGTGCTTTAGAGCCCATGAGCCACAACTCCTGAGCCTGTGCACCACAACTACTGAAGCTCACACGCCTAGAGCCCATGCTCCACAACAAGAGAAGCCACTGCAATGAAAAGCCCGTGCACCACAACAAAGAGTAACCCCCGCTTGCCGCAACTAGAGAAAGCCTGCATGCAGCAACAAAGACCCAATACAGCCAAAAATAAACAAATAATAAATAAATTTAAAAATAAAATAAACTTATGAAATGATTCTCAACCCAGTGTAAAATAATAATAATAACAGCTATGGTTATTACGTACTGCTTGTGTGTCAAGCGGTATACTTGGCGCTTTATATATATTACCTTATTTAATCTTCTATATGATGAACGTTATTATTATCCCCGTTTTACAGATGAGGAAACGGGCTCACCCAGCTCCACCCTGCTGCTAGTATGTGGTAGAGCTAGGGTGAGTCCAGGCAGGCTGGCTCTAGAGCCATTCTCTTAACTACGTTATTTTGAAAATTAATAGCTGTTGGTTGAGATTCTTTTGCAGGGCCTAGGCACAACTAGACCTAGACTGTGACCCACCAATGTCTTTAATTGGAGAACATCTTTGCATTGCTTTTTTTTTTGTTTTGGCTGCATTGGGTCTTCATTGCTGCACGTGGGCTTTCTCTAGCGGTGGTGAGCAGGGGCTACTCTTTGCTGCAGTGCACGGGCTTCTCATTGCGGTGGCTTCTCTTGTTGAGGAGCACAGGTTCTAGGGCGCATGGGCTTCAGTAGTTGTGGCTTTTGGGCTCTAGAACACAGGCTCAGTAGTTGTGGCACACGGGCTTAGTTGCTCTGCGGCATGTGGGATCTTCCCGAATCAGGTTATCGATCCCGTGTCCCCTGCATTGGCAGGTAGATTCTTAACCACTGCCACCAGGGAAGTCCCTGCAGTGCTTCTTGTTTAGCTTTAACTAATCCTGAATTTGGGAGAATAAATATGGATTATGGAGGAAGAAGAATTGGCTTTTTGCTTCTCTATCATCAGAATTCCCCTTACAAGCTGTCCAGCACGTGACTGCCACTTAATTGTGAGAGTGCCACTGAAGGGCTGTCCTTAGACTGGTGGGATTGCAAGGTTAGGGAGAGACCTTTATTGCTTCTGGGAGAAAAGAAACACATTAAACACAGTAAACACATAACCAGTTCTGGGGAGGAGCTGCTTTGGGAAAGTAGAGGAAGAGTGAGAGGCCAGATGAGGTCCTTTCAGAGAAAATGAAAGACTCTAGGAAGCCCACAAGCCCAACAACTGGTGAAAGAAGGTGGGCTGTGCTAGGGTGTAGACTGTTACCTGATTGATTAGGGAGGGATGCCCGCCTAGGAAAGGCCTTTGAAGTTGCCAGGAAGTCAGAAATTGAGGCGGCAAATTATGGTAAAGCCTGAGGCCTTTAGGTACAAGGGTTCTGGGATATTACCCTCTGCCTAACTACTGCCCTTGCCATGTCCCAGGCCAGTGTTGAGTGTGAGGGAGGCCCAAATGGACATATTCCTAAAGTCTTAAGCTACAGAAAGGAAGATCCCGGACGAGGAGTGTATCCCTAGTGCTCTGAAGTTCCGAATGGGCTGGGGCCCAGACCTGAGCTTAGAATGTTTTCTTCTCTTGGAAATTTAAGAGAAGTGATATGGGCAGGAAATGGCAGGGGCTAGGTGAACACAAGAAAGGGCCAGGGAAGGAGAACATGACCCTGGGCAATGTCTGGACAAGGGGAGAGCTGAGATCATGCACAAAGTCCAGCCAGGCCTCTGGTTTCCTTCCAAGGAGCTGATAGCTCAGGGGCCTTCTCTGCTTTCACCTCCCTGCAAGAAACTGAACTAAGCTCTTACAGGAAAAGCCAACTTTATTGGGAAAGAAAAAATCCCTGTTCTGAGCGATATCTTATACCTTCCAGTCTGCCCTGGCAAGAAGAGAGAAAGCCCAGGTGAACAGGGCGGCCTTGCCTGAGGCTCTCATTGCATCTCTTGATGTGCTGTTTCTTCTTCTCAGGAGTTAGCTTTAGCATGGTATTTGTCTTTTGGCACCTGACACCCCTTAGGAAAGGCTGAGCCCAGGTTGCTGGGTCATAGCCATTGCTGAAGCTGCCCAGAGTTCAGGGATTGGAAAAGCATGTATTATTTTATTCTGCCTGATTCCTGGGAGCTGGTTCCATCTTGCCTTTTTCTGGAATTTTGCCTTTTTCTGGGCTTGAGCCATTTACTTCTGAGCCAAGACCTTGGCCGTAGATATTTCAGCCACTAGCACAGCCCACGTGCATGAGGGGGCCAGATTACTTCGTGGGTGACTGGCATTGCTGGGTATTGGTCCTCTTGCCGACAGAGCTGACAAATGGAATTAGAAGCAAAGGAGCCAGCCTATGCTAGAGTCTGTGGGACATAGTTTAGCAAAGTGACCTTGAGGAGTCGGGTGTCTGGAGGAAAAGAGCCTGAATCTGGTCCAGACCTTTGACGTAGCTGTCCCTCCCAAACTCAGGAACACAAGCCTGTGTTCTCCATCCCTACTTTCTCCTCAGGAATTCTTTCTTGGCAGGCAGAAGTGTTTGCCACTAGGTGAAGTCTTCTCTGGCACAAGACTGAACTGGTGAAGGGAACAGCCCAGAGGCACCTTTGTACCCCTCAGGAATCCATTCTCAGTCCCTGTGCTCAGTCCTGACTCTAGCTTATTCCCTTCACCCCTACGTTCTGTTGGAGCTAAGCCTCCCTCATCACACTCCTTCCTCCCAAGACTCCCAACTGAGCTGGGAGCTCTCCATGAGGTCATACACTTCCCTCCCAGGTCAGATCAAATTGCAAAATAGCTCTCACACAGGTTGCCACAGTGAAAATTTATTCACTCTCCTGGTCTCTCCTTTCTACCCAGCTCACTTCTTCCAACTTAATGTAGAAGATCTACATCTTCTGATGTAACTAATCATTGTATAACCCAAATATAATTGTCTTCAAGCTGGCAAGATAGTACTACACACTCTCTAAATACTAGTCTGGTCTTGCTAATAATAGACATGATATATACAAAATAGTTTTCATTATAGTGGGCAGCAGGGAGCTGGGCTAGTTCACCTCTAAATATTCGTGCTGTAACTGATTGTCCTTGTCTTTGATTTATGGTCTGTTAAGCCGAAGTCATATCAGGACTGGCTTTGGTAGTCCTTTCCTTCTGGAACCACAGAGATCCAAGGTTCCTGGAATTAGTGGAGGTCTGAATCCACCCCCATAGAAAGCAGAGGCATAGTAGGGGAGGGAGCCCTCATTAGAACAAAAGAGGATGAGATAAGCTCTAGCTTAGTTTAGAAAGTGTCTCCTACACTCCAAGGCTAGGATGCCCGAAAAGTTCCATCCAGGCAATGGATAAGAAGACTGAGTTGGCATTGGGAGATGAAAACAAGTGGCAGATGGTGCTGAGGAACATCCCAGGACTGAAGAAATGTGGTTCCCAGAAAAGGAAAAGGAAGGAGACATTGGCAAAGTCTTACTCAGCAACTGACAGCCTGGCCAGAGAAAGCTGCAGGATATGGCTGAGAACGCATCTTCGGTATCAGGGATACTGAGGGGCTCCGACACTCACTATTCTGTCACTTCTTCTCATGCTTCTTTACCATACCCACAGTAAACAGCCCTGGTGACCAGGCTGGACTAGTCAGGAAAGGCAGGGGATGGAAGAGATTAGAAACTGGTCCCACCTACCATATAGCATAGGGAACTATATACTCAATATCTTGTAATATCCTATAATGAAAGAGAATGTAAAAAAAGAATATGTATATACGTGTGTATATATATATTTTGGCCATGCCACACAGCTTGTGGGATCTTAATTCCCCAACCAGGGCTTGAACCCATGCCCTCGGCAGTGAAAGCATGGAGTTCTAAACACTGGACCACCAGGGAATTCCCTATATATTTTTATATATATGTATAACTGAATCACTTTGCTGTACACCTGAAACACACACCATTGTAAATCAACTATATTTCAATAAAAATTAAAACAAAAACAAAAACATGGCCCCAGAAACCTGAGGAATCACTCCCCGTGGCCAGGCTTTTTTCAGGGTAATAAGTAGTGAGCAAGGTCTCTTGAGGGTGTTGTCTCAGACTGAATGCAACGCAGTAGGGCAGCAGGAGGGGCGTGGGGGCAAATGACCTAGGATTCGTGTGGACTAAGCCCCACCTGGCCCTTGACTTCCCCAGGTGCTAGAGGTAGTGCGAGCCAACTATGACACGCTCACACTGAAGCTGCAAGATGGCCTGGACCAGTATGAGCGCTACTCCGAGCAGCACAAGGAAGCCGCCTTCTTCAAAGAGCTGGTGAGTGTGCCCCGCCTCCACCTCTGCCTGTGTCTCTTAAGGGCCCTTTCCCAGCCACTGGGTCCTACTGTGCAGGTGGGCAAAGGCTGATGAAATAAGACTGGAGAGGCCTGCTTCGATTGTGTTTGCAACTTATCTCCCAAAGCAGTCCAGGAAGGACCAGGCAGTGAGAGCTGAAGATATTCCCCAGAGTGCTGGTGCCAGGCTGGGAAGGGTGAGAGGCCTGAGGCAGCAGTGCCCACCTCTCCTCTGCAGCCATGATGACAGCCCTTGCACAGCTCCAGCTGGGCCTGGAGTTTGACGTGTGTTCCCAGTGGCAGCTCTGGCTCATTACTCCTTATCCTGTCCTCAGAGTAACTAATGAGAGTAACTGATTCTTCTCTTCCTTATGTAATCACTTCTTCCTAAGTTCCTAACTGGGTCCTGGTCTGAGTGCCCTTCCAGTCTAGTTCTCCAGTCTTCACTCCCTGCCCCCATTCCCACTTTCCAGTCACTCAGCTTTCTGCAGCCCCCTCCCGTGGCCACCTGCAGCCAGTGAACATCTGCTCTGCCTCCTACTCTACCTCCCAGTCAGCATTTCCACAGAACTGGACTTACCCTGTTGGTGGTCCCTGTCCTGTCCTGTGCTCAGAAGATACTCTCAGGAAAAGCCCAGTCTCCCTGTATTCCTGCCACTCCACCTGCCTGATTGTGCATGATCATCCTGGCTGGGGGCTGAGACCAGGGCACACAGGCCTGTGTACCGACTTCCCATGTCCTCAGACCTCCCACTTCTGGGGCAGAACTTGCATCAGCCCAGCTTTTACTTACCCATGCCCAGTCCATGATGAAGGTGCTAGATTTTAGATCACCTGTCTTGTGCTAAACCCAGCCCGACTCTGACCCTGACATGGCATTCCTGGGATTATTGGGTTTCCCCAAGGTGAGGCAGATATACTCTGGACTGAGTTAGCTGGGAACAGGGAAGCCACTAGTGTAAGAAGATAGCAGAGTACGGTATGCTTATGGGGTGTTCAGCAAGTTATTGGGAGATGAAGAGGACTGTGGAGGAGAGAGTTCAAGCAGCTCTCTTGAGGCTTTTGGGCACTAGCCTGTGCCTTACTCATTTCTCCTCATATCTGTACCTCTGGCACAGGGAAGCAAAGAGGGTCTGGTTAGGTTTGGAGCTAATGAGCTTGAGCTGCCTGCTGTTTGCCACGCTGCCCTTTCCTCTGCTTCCTGCCTGATGACTTCATTAAGTTTCCCATAGCAAAACAGAAATTGAAGAAAAGCTCCCTGGGCTTTGGGGCCTAAGACAGATACACATTCTTTTTCTCCTTCCTCCCCTGCTTTGTCTCTCATTCGATGTTCACTTCTATTTCCCATGAATGAATTTCCTTCCAGAGTCTGCTGGATTCCTCTTAGAACCCACTCAGAGCAGGGAGTTTGGCCTTCTGACCCCTTTCCCACAGGTCTTTTCTCCTGCTGGCACAGGCGGGACTTCCTGCAAGGTTCTTGGTCTGTGGGTAGAAAGCATGAGCAGTGGGGACATAGCAAGGATACAGCTAGACTTTCCTCTCAAGTGGGGAGGCATCTTTGTGGTATGGAGAGTGCTGGACTAGGAGTTGAGAAACCTGGGTCCTACTTTCACAACTGGGACTCACTGGCTGTATGACCTGATTCTGGCTATTGGCCTCCTTGGATCATACTCCTGCCATCCAATGACAGACAAGGGCTGCATCTCTAACCGTTCTTTCCAACCCAGAAAAGTAGATAAATACAGAAGGAGATTGAGGAGACTCAAAACACATCCAAAGGGAGGTAGCTCCAGAGCATGAGTCCTCTGGCCTCAGTTTCTCCTCCTCCATTAGACCACTGACCAGATCAGGGCCCCTTCGGCCTGGCCGAGGCAAGGACAAAGGCCTGACCTCAGCCCTCCTTCCCTGTCTGTGCTTGTTTCTACCTCATCGGGTGCTCAGACGCTCTGCTTACATCCATTAGGATTCCTGTCTCTCAATCTCTCTTTTCTTCCGACTATCACGGAATTGTTTGCTCATTTACCTGCAGGGATGATAGATGTTAAGGGTTCATTTCCTAAGAGAGAAACTTCTAGCACTGCATCTTGGCCTTGTGCTTCAGGCACTGCCCTCTGCTGTTTGTAACGGACTCTCTCCTGTTTTCTCTCTGCCTGTGCTCCCCCCTCCCCACCTTCCCTCACCTTTTCCCAGGTTCGATCCATTAGCACCAACGTCCGGAGGAACCTGGCCTTCCACACACTCAGCCAGGAAGTCCTGCTCAAGGAATTCTCCACCATCTCCTGAGGCTGCCATGCATACCTGGGCAGCCACTGACTGCCCCTTACCGATGAGGCTTCCTGGGCTGGAGGCGGGGGCGAGGGTAGAGGGCCTGTTCCCAAAGCTGGAGAAAAACACAGATACCGAGGTCTCTCGGTGAAGGCCGCACTTCAGTGGAGCTCGGACAGCAGGGGCCAGGATGGGCAAGCCAAGGATGATCTTATTTGGGGAGAGGATGGGTGGGCACAGGGAGACACCTTCAGAAATGTGGAGACTTCCAGGGTGGGCTCTCTGAACAACCCCTCATTTTCCAATTGAGATTACAAGTTGTGGCTACTGACTAATTTTCAGGAGCTGTTGGGTAAGCCTTAGGGTGATGCCAACACCTGGGGGGTCAGTGGTTCTCCTAGGCTTCTGAAAACAGACTAACTCTCAGATGTAGGGGGAGCCAGTTCTGCTTCCTTTGTGCTCAGAAATCTGTGTCCCCAGCCCCCACCTGCACTTGACCGTTAGCTCAGGCTTAGGGTGGGGTAGGAATGGGATACGTTTTTTCTATTTTCTGAATCCAGAGCTGACTCCTCTGCTGTCTGACCACCACTTTGTGGATTTGATTCTTGGCAATGGGAGTACCTGTTTGCGTTGCCCTGCCTTCCAGCCCATTGACTCGTCAGCACTACAGGGTCACCACCTTAGCTTTTCATTTTCAATCTGGTTTAAATTGTCTTTAGGGTGTGTGTGTGAAATAAACATGGACAGGTTTTCTGGAGCCCTCAGGTGCCTACTTTGCTGGTTCCCTTTCCAGCAGCTTCCCCACCTCCTTAGCTACCCCCTCCTCTGGGAGCCTTTCTTGCGTCTGCTGAGCTCCCCTCCACATGTTCCTCCCCCTCACCCGGCTGTTGTTTACATCCAGCCTGCGTGAGAATTTCCTCTGGGGAGGAATCTGTTCCTGCTGTGGTCTGGTGCCTGGAAGGGAGAGAACTTGCTGGGGCCAGGCTCTGAAACAGACCAGGTGAGCATCATGGAGAGGCCGACCTTTGGGAAGTTGGCCTATGGTCCCTTCTCTGGACGGCTTCCTTGGGACTACTACTGTAGGCTTTCCTGCCCCACAGCTGCCTTTGAAGTAGCTGCTGCTCTGAGATCCTCCCTTTCTAAAGCACTTTCTAAAGCCCTCAGGATGGTAGGGGGCAAGCAGCACAGGAAGAATCTGGGAGTAAGTATCAGAATCCAGCCGTGAGAGCAGGTCTGGGACCTCCCCGGCTGCTATTCCACTTGGCTTCAAATCTTTTTGGGGTACTCGCCCTCCCTGGGAACCAGAGTTCCGACTCCAACATTGAGCAAATTCCAGAGAATCCACCATCGTGCTGCCATGTATAGTTGTAGATTCTTAAGGTATCAAGGGCAGGGTCATCTCTGATCACTAGATGGATAGTCCAGCCTGGGGCATTTAGTGTTTTCCACAGTTTTTCCACAGATAAACCCCAGAGGAGCAGGAGCTGGAAGCTGGTGGCAAGTTGAAGTTATTAAAAATTGATTTGTATGGGACAGTCTTTTTAGTGTCTTTTCTATTTCCCCTTAATCTCTGTTACCCAGAACCCCTTTCTCAATGACAGAGTTAAGGTAATCTCGGAGGTGCTGGTCTCATCTGGTTAGGGAACCCCTTATATGCTCTGCTTCTCAGTCTCCTGGTCCTAGTGGAAGCCAGTTCAGTTCAGAAGTTGTAGCCTCCCTTGCCTTTTGGGTGGAAGGAAGGAAGAAGAAAATCCCTTTACCTCAAAACTTGGTGTTAAGGAGGCCAGCCAGCCTATTTGGGCTGCTTCTAGATTCCTGCCAGCCTTTCATATGAAGTGAATAAGGGCAGGTCCAGGGCATCAGGCAATAAGCAAAGCACTCCTTGCCCTCCATTTTAAAAGCCCATCTCTTGGCCCATTTACATACACCTATTCTAAGAACTCCAAGTAGGAATCCCATCCTTTCTTAGAATTTAACCCCAAAAGGAGCCATCTATGCCCTGTCCATGCCCCAATGTCTATACCAGGTCTGTGGAGGACCCTCCGGAGTCAGGGAAAAGCCAGGAGTAGGGCATTGCTCCCAAAGATAATCCTTCCTTCGGCTGCTCGTCCCCTTCTCATGCCTGAACTCTCACCACAATTCGTGCTGGGTTAATTGAATCAAGTGCTTGTAAATTAATCCAGTTGAAGAGATTAAATGTGCTGGGGTCACTTTAGCTGAAGCTTTCCGTCTCAGCAGGTCACTCCTCCAGAGGAGCCATTGGGCAGGCAGGATTACCTGGGACACTGCCACCATACCATCAAAACACATCAGACATTGCCCCCGCCCCTAATCCTCATGGTGGTTGGGGAGCTCATGGGCTAGGAGCCCAGGAAGGATCGTGGGGGAAGTCAGACTAGTAGGCTCAGTTGTTCAGTAGCCATTCCTGGGAGCTGGAGGTAGGCGAGCTTTGTGCTAGCCGCTAGCTTCAGAAAAAAGAGCTAGTCTAAGGGAAGGGGGCCTCGTGACAAGGGCATTTCTCCCCCACTCTTGCCTGCATCCCCAAACCCCTCAATCATTTCCCAAATCTTCTGGAAAACAGAAGGAATCTAGAACAGGGCAGGTGACAGAAGAGAGCAGGGCAGGAAAGTTGAAAGAAAAAAAAAAAGGAACAAAAGAACAAGAAAGTCTTGAGAAACTGACCTGGTTCACTCTTTCTTTTCTTTTTCTTCCCAGTTGGCCAGCGGGGGTCATTAGATCAGGGAAGAAGGCACCTTGAGAGTGAATAGGGCCCAGAGACAGGGTCCTGGAGTTGGTGAGGGTAGGGGTCCTTCCAAGAGAAGAGAAAATTGTAGTCCACTGGCCTGAGATAAGCCTGCGTTATAGGCTGAGTTGACCTTTGCATCCCTAACCCCCTTCAAGCAGGGTGGGCACTGGTGGGGGCCAAAGAGACTCATACATGGGTGGAGAACAACAGAGAAAATAGGGGCTGACAGGGAGACCGAACAGGGGACTCATACGTACCCGGGCCAGTGCTGAGGGTAGGGGAAGGAGTGCTGAGAATCGGGGGCGGGGATTACTCCTAGCGGAGCCTTTCTGGCCCTGTTCCCTCCTCCACCCGCAAGACCCGGGACTTCTGGTTTAGGGGGTAGTGTTGCCAGAGAGCTCGTCTCCCTCCCCGCACTTCTCAGCTCACCCTTTCACCGGGTGCCTCCCCCGAACTGCAAAGAGGAGGGGGCGGGGGTAGGGGGAGCCAATCCCGGCAGCGCCAAAGAGGGGAGGTAGCTGTGACAGCCGCGGGGAGGGGGCGGGAGGAGAGGCGGCTCGGCTCCAGCTCCGGGCTCTTCTCCGCTCCACTCTGCCTCCGGCTCTGCGCTCACCCACTGTCCAAGCCTCCCGCTCCTGCCCCAGGATCCCCAGGTGGGCCCTAGACCGCGGCGGTCCCCAGGCTCTTAGCCCAAGCGCTGACTCTCCAGCCCCCGGCCCCCGGCAGCGCACTACACCGCCAGGGGGCGCCGTGTGAGTTCTCTATCCCAGCCACCCGGCGCCCCCTCCCACGGCCCACGTTGGGACGGGAGGGGGGCGCCGGGGGCCATGCGGGGCCAGGGCCGTAAGGAGAGTTTGTCCGATTCCCGAGACCTGGACGGATCCTATGACCAGCTCACGGGTGAGTCAGTGGCTTGGGGGTCGGGGGAAGGAGGGTAGATTCCATCCCCCCAGACCCTTAAGCCCCTCTAACCCCTGCCAGGCCCTTACCCACACTCTGACCCATTCCCAGGTACCCTCCCGGCTGTTCTGGGCGGCAGGACACTGAGGCTCAAAGCCTTGGGTCCCGCGGGGGTGGTGGTGGTGCTGGAAGGGTTGGGGGCAGAGCACGTGGGCAGGTGGGGAGAGGCAGCAGGTGTGGGCATGCATGACACAAGGCTAGGAGGGTGTCTATAGTGGGAGGTGTTACGTGCGAGAGCGCCTGTCATTCTTTGTGTCTGTGTGTATATATGTGTGTGCGCCTCCCACAGCTGGTTGCCATGTGCCCTGGGCTTGGTGACAGCCAGGGTGAGTGTGATTGCCTGTGATTGTGCAATTGTATGTCTTGTCAGATGTTTCAGTGAGGTTGTGTAGGACCCTGATTGTACTAATGAAGTTGTTTTAACCAAGTATCTCTGTTCTGTGTGCAACTCTGTGCTTTGAGTGTGTGATTTTCTGTATGAAGAGGCATGTGACTACCAGTATGTGTCAGGTCTTCACTTTATGGTGGTGTGTCTTTTTGTAAGACTTTATGACTGTGAACCTCCTGGGACAAGCATGTGTTAAAGTGGGTTGTGTTGTGTGTTAATTGTGAGACTGTGCGGGTTATATTGGTGTTTGATACTGATTGTGTACTTTCACGTGGTGATGTCTGCAGTGGGGCTCTGTGAGTGTCTATGGCATGTCTTACCCTTGCTGCCTCTCTGGCTTCCGGGGGCAGAAGGGGGTCTTTAGTGCACACCACTGCTTCCCCATGTTTTCCACAAATAGCCCCGGTCGACCCAAGGAAGGACTCTGGTGTCCATCTACCCAGCCTGGCTTCCAGGAGCGTCACCAGCTCCTGTGGGGAGGCTTTGGTTAATGCTGGATCAGCACCCCCCCCCACAAAGTATTTAGAGATCATTCTTACAACTGAAGCTCCTTCAACCCCCAACAACCCTCCCAGAACTTCACCCAAACCCAGAGGAAAACAAACCCTCTAGCCTCCCCTCCAGACCCAGAGATAGAAGCTCTAGGCCTGGGAGGTGCCATGTGGCCTCCCCTTCTAAGTATCCCCCCAAACCACTTTGCTGCTCAGGCGTCCTCTCTCTCCCACACTGGGGAGGTATGTGAGACCAGTACATCTGTGCCTGTGCATATTCCTGGGTTTGGTAGGCAGATCCACGTGTTTGTGTGGGTGACTGTGTCACCTTGTGTACATTTCCATATACGTGTGTTTCTGTCTCTCATTGTGCAGCCTGCCCAAGAACTCCAACAGAGCATGGGAGTAGGGAGACTGTCTGCCCTGTGTCTGAAACAAGCTGGGGAGGTGAAGGGAGGCCATGATCCTTGTCCTTGTCTTGAGGAGAGTAAGGTTAAGACTTGGGGATGAGGAGAGGACTAGGTTGTAACGCCTTGAAAAAGTGTCTCCCTGACTAACACACCCTGGGGAGGTTCTCGTCCCTACGCCCAGACTCCCAGAAGGGGGAGCCCTTCCACTCAGGCAGGCCCCAGATGTGCCCTAGATGTGCCTCAGGCCTGGATGGATTACAAAGGTCCAGGTGACTAGCTCTGCTTTAGACTGTGTTCTCACCAACTCAGGATCCTTGAGAGTAGTAAGGCCCCCAGCGCCCTCATTAGCACCACATTAATCAGTGTTTTCTTCCTGCTTTAACTGATTCTCCCCTTTAGTGGAGTCATCTGCTCCCCACTTGGCTATTTGAATCAGAGATTGGGTGGAAGTGGGGAAGCCCTTGTACGGGAAGGTGCAGGAATAGAAGTGTGAGTACCAGCTCTGTATGACTTTTGCTCTCTGGGCCTCATTTTTTTCATCTGTAAAATGGGAAATACTACTTCCCACCTGCCTGCCCCCCCCCCAAGGGAAATAGAAAGTTCAAATGTTGACAAGCATCAAGAATCGTGTTCCACGTCATCAGCATCCTCGCTGTAGATAGCTCCACACGCGACTTGGGAAGTAGAAATAAGACTACCAGAAGCTCTCCTTTCGAAGGAGGGCTTATCTTACAGCGGGAGATAAATGGGGTTGGGAAGCCGGTGTTAAGGCGGTGGGTGCTCGGAGACGCATGAGCTGAAGCCGGATGGGGAGTCGTTGTCCGCGGTGCTGAAGCGCTTGCAAGGCGGAAGTGCAGCAGGGCCAGCCAAATTCCCAATGTTCCTTCCTTGTGCAGGCGGGATTCCTGGAATCGGACCTGGGGGTATTCTTTGGCTTCAGTCATCCCGGCCTATCAGGCTGACAGGGAGGGGGCGCTAAAGTCATACCTCAGGTCATCCTGGGTTGCCCCAGCCTCTTTCCTTACCCACTCCCACCCCAGGCTCAAAACAAATCTGGGGGGCTTCCCTGGTGGCGCAGTGGTTGAGAGTCCGCCTGCCGATGTAGGGGACACGGGTTCGTGCCCCGGTCCGGGAAGATCCCACATGCCGCGGAGCGGCTGCGCCCGTGAGCCGTGGCCGCTGAGCCTGCGCGTCCGGAGCCTGTGCTCCGCAACGGGAGAGGCCACAACAGTGAGAGGCCCGTGTACCACAAAAAAAAAAAAAAAAAAAAAAAATCTGGAGGAGACTTTTAGGAGAAAACAATCTGAACCCCACCCCGCCCCGCCCCGCCTCTAGCACCTCCGGGCCCGGCAGGACCTATTGGCAGTGCGGCGAGGTGGGAAAAGGCAGAGATCCGCTGCGGTCCTGTCCAAGCTGGAAGCAAGGAAAGGACTGGAGAAGATGATGAGAGAGTTGGGACTTGGCTGGCCAAGTCCTGAGCTCGGGTCCCGGCCTGGGATCTCCGGAGTTGCGTCCCTCCGGCCATAAATATCGTTCCCGGACTGGCGCGCCCCCGTGTGGTTTTAGAGGAGCCATGCTTGCGGAGCTGATTCCAGATGAGGATGTTGCCAAATCAAGTGGCAAGGTTCCATGGAGTTCAGGGGTGACTCGCCTCGTAAATGTAGGATTTTCAGCCAAAAATACGGGATCCCAGTCGGAAGAGTGGGATCCCCATAGGCTCTGTCAGAAGTTTAAAGGCGTTAGTGGGTCCTGGAAGGGTTTACTTTGGGTATAACCAGATAGGGATGAGTCCAGGGCCAGGACTGTGGGTAGGGGGGCTTCTCGATGCATCTGGCTGACAATCGGCGTATGAGGGGAGAGTGTGAACCCGCCGGACCAGGACACAGGGACACAAAACAGTTACAAGAAAAAGATATTCAGAGCCAGAAGACAGACCAGTAGGGGCACGTCCCTGCAGCCCCTTTGTCACTCCAATACACTGGTCAGTTCCTCCTCTTCCCTCCTACTCTCGCGCCCATTGGTCCAGGAAGTATGGAAGTGTGGGGAGTTGCCATGACAACTAGGTTGTCTAAACCCCTTCGCATCTTTATGTCAAAATGGGAAGAGGAGGGGTGTGACAGGCAGAGAATGAGGGGATGAAGCGGGGCAATGAAAGATAATGTTCATTCCCTCCCCAGCTCATTTTTCAAAAACCGCGGGTGCCCCCTTCCCCACCGGAAATTCAGAAAATATTCCCAGAGAAGGCTGTGAGGGAGAGTCCGTGCCGCCCCTCCCCTCCGGCCCCGCCCCGCCCGAGTCTGGGAATTTGGGGGGCGGGTGCTTCAGGCGCTGGGGCCAGGGTGAGTTCCCCTCGTGTGGCCGGGAGAAGACGGGAAGCGGAACGAGGCTCTATTGCCTGAGATCCTGGTCCTATGGGTCCGGCCCTCCCGCGCCGCCCACGCAGGGCCCACTCCGTTGGGGGCGGATATCAGAACGCCCCGAGCCTTGGGGGCGGAGCTTGACCTCTGTGCTCACCGCAGGACCATGAACAGATGCCCCCGCAGGTGCCGGAGCCCGTTGGGGCAGGCAGCGCGATCCCTCTACCAGCTGGTGACTGGGTCGCTGTCGCCAGGTATGAGGAAGGGAGGAAAGGGCTGGACCCCTCAAAAAGTAAGCGAAGTGGGATAGGAGCCTTACAGAGGTGGGGAGAGAAAGGGCCCCTCACAGAGATGGAAGGGGCAGGATCCTTCAAAGAAAAGAGTTTAAAGGGCAAGACTCCAACAGAAGTGGAGCTTGGGATAGGGTCCCTTAAAGAGAAGGTGAAGGACATAGGGGTCTTCAAAGAGGAAAGGAGAAGGGGCATCATCGTCCCTCACAATGGTGGAAGAGGGGGCAGGGCTCCTTACTGATAGCAGAGGTGCAGGGCTCCTTACTGAGAGCAGAGGTGGGGACCTCAAGAAGGTGGATGTAGGGGCAAGGCCCCTCACAGGGATGAAGGGAGGAAGCTTGCAGCAGAGCAGGGAAAAGGCAAAGCTCTTTACTGAATTGCTTAGTTTAATGGGATCTTAAGATGACTAGGGGCAGTGTGCAGAAGGAAAAAATCCTGAGGTGGGACTGGACCAACATGAACTCAGCTAGTGAGTTTATGCATGATGGATGGATAGACTTGTGTGGCATAAGGATTGTATGTCACCGTCTTGTCTATCTCTGGGAGTCTGTATTAAGGGGGTTGGTGCCTCAATGGGGTTGTGATCACTGGGGCTGTGCACCCCTAGGGTTACGTATCCCTGGAATTCTGTGACACTAAGACTGCATGTACCTGGAGTTCTATGCTTTAGAGTTGGGTTGGGGGTTCCTGAGTCACACTAAGTTAGCTGTATAGACTTCATAAGGTTGTACCTTGGTGTGGGATTTGTTCAATTTATGACATGGATTGTGGGTATCATATCATGGCACTGCTGAGATTATGCACACCTCCACTTGGGTTTCCTTAGAGCTGCCTGGGCAGGGCCCACAGAACCCAGCAACTCCTCCCCACCTGACCTGGGGAGACCAAAACATCCTAGCCTGGTGGCATTCTGGGATCTGTAGTTCTCTGGCTGTCTGCACAGTATCCCCTTGAGCCCCTGGAGTATAAGCAGGCCTCCCCTTACAATGTGCTCCCAGAAGGAG